CCTAGAAAATGACGTAGTGGAGGCAGGAACCATACACAGTTTTAAGACGAGGTTTGATAAAGCTCATGGAGCGGGAGAGAGAGGGTCTAGTAGCAACCGGTGAAGAGGCGGGCCAGAGCTAGGACTCGACCCCTGCAACCACAAATAGGTGAGTACAAATAGGTGAGTACACACACACACACACACCCTTACTAGGCGAGTACAGACACACACACACAGGCATAGACACACAACTCACACACACTCACACACCACACCCCACACACACACCACACACCTTTACTAGGGGAGTACACACACAACATACACACACACACACACACACACTAAGGCACCCTGGTATCAAGCGGTCACTCTACCCTCATCCTTCTCTTCCCCTCCCCCCACCTCTCCTCCCCTTCTAATCCCCCACACACACACACCTCCCCTTTTTTAGGGTCACTCTACCCTCATCCTTCTCTCTCCTTCCTCCCTCCCCCCTTAATCCCATCCCTCTCTCTCCTACGCATACATACACACATACACAAGCACATATACACAAGCACACATACACATACTCCCCCTCCCCTAAGCACCCCCTCCCCCCTCCCCCTAGCCACCTCCCCCTCCCCCAAACCATCTATCTCCCTCCCCCAACCATCTCTCCCCTCCAATAACCATCCTCCCCCTCCCCCATAACCATCCATCCCCCTCCCCCTAACCATCTATTCCTCTCCCACTTCCTTCTGTGGTACAATGGGGCAACCAAGAACTAGGATGAGAGCCAAGGGCCTGACAGACGAATCTGGGAGAGAGGATTGGGAGGCAGAGCTCAAAAAAAGGGAGAAAGACTGGGGAAGGAGGTTAGATGAGCTTGCAAGGAAGATGGAGGAGAGGGTAGCAGCAGAGTGCAGAAGTGGGAGCAACATGCCACAGTAGCAGAAGCCAAACTTCAGAGATTAGAAGAGGAGCTGAGAAAACTGAAACAGCCTAGTGATGAAGATAATACAGAAGTAGCTTCAGCAATGTTTACATCAGACAGAGACAAAGGGTCTGGAGGGAGCATGGAAGCTAAACTGTATGCAAAGGTCCTGTCAAACCCACACGGGGCCAAAACAAAGAGAGGGAGCACGAACACTAGGACAGTATGAGAGGTCAGAAGACATTGAAGGAACTAGGACATATGCAGGGACTTCACCGGACACTTGTGAGGGCCAGGAACAGGTGAGCAGGAAGGACAAACCAAAGAGCATAGGGGTCACAGCTAGGGAAGGGATTGAAGGAAGGAACACTCCACGGGAAGGAACTAAAACACCTCAGAGGATGCAATGGGAGTCACAGTGGGAGGTGGAAAGGGAGAGATCAGTTTTTGTCTATGGGCTAGACGAAGCTAAAGGGGAAACCATGATGAAAGAAAACAGGAGGAGAAAAAGCGATTGAAGGTATCATGAAGGTGATAGGGAGACATGACCCAGGTGGCAAATTTTTGGAGAATCTGGTGGTTCACAGAGAGAAGGAAACCGCCTCTCAAAGTAATTTTCAAGGGAGAATCAACTCGAACCATGATCCAGCAGGAGAAAGCACGGCTGAGAGGCAAACAGGAGTTCAAGAGTGTGTACCTCGATCGAGAAAGGAGGAAAGGATGATACCGAAAGATAGAGTGCAAAAACGAAAGGAAGAATGGGAGGAAAAGACAAAGAAGAGCAGAATAACTCAGGCACAGGTGGAAGGGCAAGCACACCCCTAGGAAACACCTGCAGAAGGACTCCAACCACGACACCCCCAAGGCGACTGAACAATCTAAACCAACAATCACACATCGATCCCTCTGTTCCCACCCCCCGCACCACAAACCCTACCTCTACAGCAACCCCCTATGGGAGCTCTTCTTCCACCTCCACTGCAACCCCCCACAGGCTCCCACAAGGGCTCCTGCTTTCCCAAACCCAGTTTTCCCCGGACCACAGTTACAGTATCAGAACAGAAGTTGAGGGTTTGGTACACAAATGCAGATGGATTAACGAATAAATATGAGGAGTGGCAAGAAAGAATCAATGAGAAGTCCCCAGACATAGCAGTTACAGGAACAAAGCTCACTGAGACAATAACAGATGCAATCTTCCCACCAGGATATCAGATCATGAGGAAAGATAGAAGGGGCACAGGGGGAGAAGAGGTTGCTCTGCTCGTAAAAAAAGATGGAAATTCGAGAAAATGGAAGGCATAGACGAGACAGGAGAAAGGGACTACATAGTAGGTACACTTCAGTCTGGGGAGCACAAGGTGGTCATTGAAGTGATGTATAACCCAGCACAGAACTGCAGGTGGCCAAGAGAGGAATATGAAGAGAGCAACAGAGCAATGGTGAACACACTTGCTGGGGTGGCAAGAAGAGCTCACTCGAGCAGAGCGAAGTTGCTGGTTATGGGTGATTTCAACCACAGGGAGATTGACTGGGAAAACCTGGAGCCACATGGGGGTCCCAAAACATGGAGAGCCAAGATGTTGGATGTGTTGCTGGAAAACCTCATGCACCAACATGTTAAGGACACTACCAGAGTGAGAGGAGAGGACGAACCAGCAAGATTGGACCTTGTGTTCACCCTGGGCAGTTCAGACATTGAGGACATCACATATGAGATTTCCCTAGGAGCTAGTGACCACGTTGTTCTGTGCTTTGAATACATAGTAGAGTTGCAAGTGGAGAGAGTAACAGAAGTTGAATAGGAAAAGCCAGATTATAAAAGAGGGGACTACATAAGTTTGAGGAACTTCCTGCAGGATGTTCTGTGGGACAGAGAACTGGCAGGAAAGCCAGTAAATGAAATGATGGAATATGTAACAACAAAATGCAAGGAGGCAGTGGAACGGTTTATTCCCAAGGGCAACAGAAACAATGGGATGACCAGAACGAGCCCCTGGTTTACCCGATGGTGTAAGGAGGCAAAAACTAAGTGCAATAGAGAATGGAAAAAGTACAGAAGACAGAGAACGCATGAAAATAGGGAGATTAGTAGCAGAGCCAGGAACGAGTATGCACAGGTAAGGAGGGAGGCCCAGAAACAGTATGAAAATAACATGGCATCGAAAGTCAAGACTGACCCGAAATTGTTGTATAGCCACATTAGGAGGAAGACAATAGTCAAAGACCAGGTGATCAGACTGAGGACATAAGGTGGAGAACTCACAAGAAATGATCAGGAGGTATGTAAGGAGCTAAACAGGAGTTTTAAGGAAGTTTTTACAGTAGAGACAGGAAGGGCTCTAGGACGACAGCACAGAAGGGAACATCAAGAGGGAATATACCAACAAGTGTTGGATGACATACGAACAACCGAGGAGGAGGTGCAGAAGCTGCTAAGTGACCTTGATACCTCAAAGGCGATGGGACCGGACAACATCTCCCCGTGGGTCCTTAGAAAAGGAGCAGAGATGCTGTGCATGCCCCTAACCGCAATCTTCAACATATCCTTTGAAACTGGGCAACTACCTGAGATATGGAAGACGGCAAATGTAGTCCCCATATTTAAGAAAGGAGACAGAAACGAGGCACTAAACTACAGACCTGTGTCTCTGACATGTATAGTATGCAAAGTCATGGAGAATATTATCAGGAGGAGAGTGGTGGAACACCTGGAGTGGAACAAGATTATAAATGAAAACCAGCATGGATTCATGGAAGGCAAATCCTGTGTCATAAACCTTCTGGAGTTTTATGACAAGGTAACAGAAGTGAGACACGAGAGATAAGGGTGGGTTGATTGCATTTTCCTGGACTGCAGGAAGGCCTTTGACACAGTTCCTCAAGAGATTAGTGCAGAAGCTGGAGGATCAGGCGCATATAACAGGGAGGGCACTGCAGTGAATCAGGGAATACCTGACAGGGAGGCCACAACGAGTCATGGTACGTGATGGGGGTCCCACAGAGGTCACTTCTAGGAACCAGTGCTATTATTGATATATGCAAACGACATGATGGAAGGAATAGACTCTGAAGTGTCCTATTCGCAGATGATGTGAAGCTGATGAGAAGAATTAAATCGGATGAGGATGAGGTAGGACTGCAAAGAGACCTGGACAGACTGGACACGTGGTCCAGAAACTAGCTTCTCGAATTCAACCCTGCCAAATGCAAAGTCATGAAGATTGGGGAGGGGCAAAGAAGACCGCATATGGAGTATAGGCTACGTGGACAAAGACTACAGACCTCACTAAGGGAGAACGATCTTGGGGTGACCATAACACCGAGCACGTCACCGGAGGCACACATCAACCAATAACTGCTGCAGCATACGGGCGCCTGGCAAACCTGAGAATAGCGTTCCGATACCTTAATAAGCAATCGTTCAAGACACTGTACACTATGTATGTTAGGCCCATGCTGGAGTATGCAGCACCAGTCTGGAACCCACACTCTGGTCAAGCACGTCAAGAAGTTAGAGAAAGTACAAAGGTTTGCAACAAGGCTAGTTCCAGAGCTCAGGGGAATGTCGTACGAGGAAAGGATGAGGGAACTCGGACTGACGACACTGAAGGACAGAAGAGTCAGGGGAGACATGATAACGACATACAAGATACTGCACGGAATAGACAAGGTGGACAGAGACAGGATGTTCCAGAGAGGGGACACAGTAACAAGGGATCACGATTGGAAGCTGAAGACTCAGACAAGTCACAGGGACGTGTGGGCAGGGAGGCATGTGGCACCGTGTGGGCAGGGAGGCATGTGGCACCGTGTGGGCAGGGAGGCATGTGGCACCGTGTGGGCAGGGAGGCATGTGGCACCGTGTGGGCAGGGAGGCATGTGGCACCGTGTGGGCAGGGAGGCATGTGGCACCGTGTGGGCAGGGAGGCATGTTGCATCCGTTGGATCAGGCACTTGGCATAATTGGAGCAACCGTGCTGGCAGGAGGTATGTGGCACCGTGTTGGCAGGGAGGATTGCACCGTTGTTGCAGGAGGTATGAATGCATTCACGGAGAGTGGAAGTTGTAGGAGGCATGAGGACCGTCGGCAGGGAGTATGTGGCACCGTGGGCATGGAGGCATGTGGCACCGTATGGCAGGGATATGTGGCACCGTTGTGTGCAGGGAGCATGTTGGCACCGTTGGGCAGGGAGGTATGTGCAACCGTGTGGCAGTAGCATGTGGCACCGATGTAGGCAGGAGGGCATGTGGCACCGTTGTGGCAAAGCTAAAGTGGCACGTGTGGGCAGGAGATGTGGCACCGTGTGGGCAAGAGCTGTGGCACCGTGTGGGCAGGGAGGATGTGGCAAGGTGGGCAGGGAGCATGGGCTACGATGTGGGCAGGAGGTATGTGGCACGTGTGGCAGAGGCATGTGCACCGCTGTGGCAGGAGCTATTTTGGCACCGTGTGGGCAAGGAGCATGATGCACGTGTCAATGGAGGTATGTGGCACCGTTGGGCACTGAGGCATGTGGCATCCTTGTGGGCAAGGAGATTTGCACCGTGTGGCAGGGAGGATGTGCACCTTTGGCAGGAGGCATTGGCACCTGTGGCAGGAGGATGTGCACCGTTGTGGGCAGGGAGGCATATATGGCTTTACATGTTGGCATTGAAATGTGGCACCGTGTGCAGGAGGCATGTGGCACCGTGAGGAGGATTGGTCTGGAGAGGATTGGCACGGTGGGCAGGGAATGTGGCATTGTGGCAAATTCAACCGTGTGGCAGGAGGCATGTGGCACCGTGTGGAGGAGGCATGTGTGCACCGTTCAGTGATTTATTTTTCCAACGTTACAAAGTGTTGGCAGGGATTGTTTTTTATATACAGCAATTAAATCTTTGAGAAACAGTAACAGCAGGTTTTTCCAAATAGATGTTGCTATTGAAATAAACTAGTAAGTTGTTTTGTTTAATTGGTATAAAATGAACAAATTCACAAGATGGAAAGATTTTGTAACATGGAGGATCCTCCAAGTATTAGCTTCATGAGGTGTTGCAGTGTTTAAATTACAACTGAGTAGAGTTTTGTAATGTATGTTGAGATTATAATGATAAAAGTGGTATTTAAACGACTTGAATCCACTGTTAATGGACATTGGAGTTGTGATTCTTAGTAATGTTTGACTTAATAAAATTTTATAAACATAAACTTCTTCTGAGAGAATCTTTAAATGAGTAATGGCCATTGATGTTCTGTACAGGATAGTGAAAAAGTTTTTAACTCTTACAACTACGAGGCTGTCAAGAATTACTTATTCTATCTCACAAAGTGATGAAAACTGATTATTCTAATGAAGGTATTAATGTTTGATGACCCTGTGCTTCCCTGTTTAAATAATTTATAAGTATTTTTTAGACTTTTCAAATAATTTTTAGGAGAATATATTTAATTACATTACATCTAAATTTCACAATGCATTTACTGAATATTTTTTAGGGTGGAATTGTATGTGGGTGTATTTATTATAATTAAAATTATTAGCTGGGGTTGGTTAGAGGTGTAGTCTTATGATTTATTTTTTTTAATTATACTGCTTGTCAGGTGCTTTAACGATTATCTTGTTGGTCTCTGTTGTTAATTCTACTTGAAAAAAATTAAGTAATGTTATTGTTTTTGGAAACAATTAAGTATTGATAATGTTTTGTAAGACAGGAGGATAGTGCATAGGATTGTTGTCTTAGGTTTTTTTGCATTATGAAGATTAAATCATGATTTTTATGATTTTTTGCTAGATTATAAAAGTGGTAACTAACTATATTTTGAATGTATTAAGAATATATTTATTGTTCATTCGTACTTAACTATTGTAAATACTAAACACTTCTCAACATACGCAAATGGCATTTATTCTCTCCCACTACGTCTTGCACATAACATTTTTTATTCAACACAATACTTAAGGAACACATTAATTTTCTCTGACGTAGTCCAAACCAGGTTATTTGGGACTATTTCGGAAACTCTAAAATTTTGGTTTTAATCTATGTCATCAACATAAACTTCATTCCTCGTTAATCACAAATCTTAAACTTCATTCCTCGTTAATCACAAATCTTAAACTTCATTTCTATAAGGTATAGTTAACATTTGGTTACGAAAAGCTGGTATTACCTGAATGTTAAAAGTCTCTATTATGCAGAGAATTTCGGGCAGCTGTAAATTAAATATTTTTTAACTACTATAACTAACGACTACTAATCGAATTTTTTTGCCAGAACAATTTGCTGAAAGTTTTATTAAGACAGTTCAGAATAACATTAATGGAGGTTATCACGGATGTTGTTCAAATATAAATGCAGATAATAACCTAAATTTCAAAATTACTACACAAGACAAGCAATAAACAGGAGGCCCGATGAATGTCCAGCATCTCGAGAAAAAGTTTGACTTTCACGCAGTGAAAATAACTGAAATATATATATTATATATATATATATATATATATATATATATATATATATATATAATATATATATATAATATAACACATATATAGGGACCCTCATCCTCAGAGAAAAGAATAAACTTGCTTCAGGGAAAACTCAAGGTTCTCTCTGATGCTGTTTGAGAATTTTCTCCTACCACCCCCTATATTTTATGTAGATTTTAATTAAAGACAAAATTCATTGACAACACATTCACAAAAATACGATATAAAGTAAAACAACATAGGTAACTCAGCGCTACATCTCGAATACTTCGTCCAGCTCCCCGGCGGTGGGCCGCGTACCCAGAATGGTGCAGGTATTTCCTCTCTGGATCGCAACACTGAGTCTCTGAAAGAGGAAGCTGGTCGCCCTGTGGTCCTTGGTTTCTATGATGAGCTTTTCGCCCAGCTCTATTAGGAACTTTAGAGCACACTTGCCCCATGCTCCAAGGGTCTCCGACCCTATTGGGATGAAGTTATAGCAAGGGGGAAGGTCTTCATATTTGCGGATCTTCTGGGTCTCTCTGTGGCTGGCAGCTCCACCCCGTTCCACTACGGAGTATGGCAAGTAGGTGTCTGCCACTGTGGCGGCACTTCTTTTCTAACACTGTGGTCTGGGGAGTATGTTGGGTTTGAGGGACCGGAAGACCTGGCAGAGAACTATGGGGGTTTGTTGTGAAGGTGGAGTTTGTGATGACGTGAATGGGGGCAGTGGGTACGGTGTGTGGGTTTTAGGTTAGTATGGGTGCAAGGAAGTTGTTATGGTTGAGGGCCTTCTGTAGGTGGTTCTGAGGGAGGTTGTATTTGCTCTTCGTCCTTGACCATCTCTTAAATGTAACTCAGATCAGATCACTGGCAGTGATAAGGAAATGTGTGAATTTTTCAACACATTCTCTCAGTTTTTACTCAGAAAGATTCTAGCAAACTTCCAGAAATAATAAATTATGTAGAAATGGACAATAATAAACTATGCACGATTGGGGTAACTAGTGTCAAGATCCTCAGACAAATAGAGAAATTAAAACCTACCAAATCCCCAGGCCCAGATGAACTTTATGCAAGGGTTTTAAAGGAATGGAAAGAGGAACTTAGCATAACTTTGTCTAATCTATTGAACATATCACTACAAACCGGCATAGTGCCGTACAAGTGGAAAATGGCAAATGTAATACCAATTTACAAAACAGGAGACAGGTCCTTCGCATCGAACTATAGACCAAAACGCCTTAACTCAATAGTGGGAAAATTTATGGAATCAATTGCTGAGGCAATTCATAGCCATTTTGAAAGGCATAAATTGATTAATGAATCTCAACACGGTTTTACAAAGGGGCGTTCCTGCCTTACGAATTTATTAACTTTTTTCTCTAAGGTATTTGAGGAGGTAGATCATAGTAATGAATATGATATTGTGTATATTGACTTCAGTAAGGCTTTCGATAGAGTTCCACATCAGAAGCTATTGAGGAAACATGAGGCACTCGGAATAGGAGGAGAATTTTTTTCCTGGGAAGAGGCATAGTTGACAGATAGGCAGCAGAGAGTTTGCATAAATGGGGAAAAATCAGAGCGGGGGCATGTCAAAAGAGGTGTCACAGGGGTCACTTATGCGCCCCTTTTTGTTTACAATTTATATACACGACATTGATAAGGGAATAAATAGCGACATCAGCAAGTTTTCTGATAACACCAAAATAGGTTGCTTAATTCATTCTAATGAGGACATTAGAGCACTCCAGAAAGAATTGAATAGACTGATGCAGTGGTTGGAGAAGTGGCAGATGCGGTTTAATATACACAAACATAAGAACGTAAGAAAGGAGGAACACTGCAGGAGGCCTGTTGGCCCATACTAGGCAGGTCCTTTACAATTCATCCCACTAACAAAACATTTACCTTCAATGCTACCCAAGAAATAAGCTCTGATATGCAAGTCCCACTCAAATCCAACCCCTCCCACTCATGTACTTATCCAACCTAAATTTGAAACTACCCAAAGTCCTAGCCTCAATAACCCAACTAGGTAGACTGTTCCACTCATCAACTACCCTATTTAAAAACCAATACTTTCCTACATCCTTTCTAAATCTAAACTTATCTAATTTAAATCCATTACTGCGGGTTCTCTCTTGGAGAGATATCCTCAAGACTTTATTTATATTCCCTTTATTAATACCTATCTTCCACTTATACACTTCTATCATGTCTCCCCTCAGAAAAGTTCTAAACACTGGACAAGAAATTAACCACTTCATATATAATTAATGTAAGTCGTAATATTACTGATTACGAAAAGGATTTAGTTCTGGTTAGCAGTAATCTCAAACCAAGACAACAGTGCATAAGTGTTCGCAATAAAGCGAACAGAATCCTTGGCTTCATATCAAGAAGTATAAATAATAGATGTTCTCAGGTTGTTTTTCAACTCTATATATCCTTGGTTAGGCCTCATTTAGATTATGCTGCACAGTTTTGGTCACCATATTACAGAATGGACATAAATGAACTGGAAAACGCACAAAAGAGGATGACAAAGTTGATCCGGTGTATCAGAAATTTTCCTTGTGAGGAGAGACTCAGGACCCTAAATTTGCACTCTCTAGAAAGACAGAATTAGGGAGGATGTGACTTAGTTGTATAAATGGAAAACAGGAATAAATAGAGGATGTAAATAGCATGTTGAGAAAATCTAGCCTAGATAGTACACTCAGAAATGGTTTCATGTTGGAAAAATTCAGATTCAAGAAGCATAGAGGAAATCACTGGTTTGGTAATTGAGTTGTGGACGAGTGGAACAAACTCCCGAATACCGTCTTAGAAGCTAAGACTTTGTGAAGTTTTAAAAATAGATTAGATAAATGGAGTGAGTGTGGGTGGATGTGAGTTGGACCTGACTAGGTTGTGCTAGTAGATCTTATGTCTTGCTCCTTCCGTAAATGGATGCTACCTGGACCTGATTATGTTGGGTCAGTGGCATAGGCCGGTAGACGACTTGGAACTGCCTCGCATGGGACAATAGGCTTGCAGCAGTGTTCTTTATTTTATATGATCTTGTGTGTGTGTGTGTGTGTGTGTGTGTGTGTGTGTGTGTGTGTGTGTGTGTGTGTGTGTGTGTGTGTGTGTGTGTGTGTGTGTGTGTGTGTTTGTTTGTTTGTTTGTGTGTACTCACCTAGTTGAGGTTGCGGGGGTCGAGTCCGAGCTCCTGGCCCCGCCTCTTCACTGATCGCTACTAGGTCACTCTCCCTGAGCCGTGAGCTTTATCGTACCTCTGCTTAAAGCTATGTATGGATCCTGCCTCCACTACATCGCTTCCCAAACTATTCCACTTACTGACTACTCTGTGG